AAAGTGGGGGCTCCCCGGGTAATGTGGGGGTTGCCCCGGCCTCTGTAATCGTGTGGGGGGTTTTCGCAGGCCCTGTATTGTGTTGTGTGTTGGTTGTCCCCCCGGTCTAAGGGGTGGGGGTTCACTGGGTGTGGTGGTAGGGGGTGGGTCCCCGGGTTAGTGGTGGTGGGTGGTTGTAGGTGTCACAGGGCTGTTGTAGTGTAGTGGTGACCGGGCTCGTAGTGGTAGTGGTGACCGGGCTCGTAGTGGTGGTGACTGGGCTTGTGGTTGCAGTGGTGGTGGTGGTAGCAGTGCGAGTGCGAGTTATGGTGCGAGTTCTAGTGGTGCGAGTTCTAGTGGTGCGAGTTCTAGTGCGCGTTTCAGTACGAGTTTTAATTCGTGTTTTGGTCTGAACCTTCGTAGGATATCCCTTAATCGGATACTCCTCGGTGGGATATAGGTCAGTTGGGTACTCTTCTGTAGGATAGTCCTCTGTCGGGTAAGCGCCAGTTGGGTATGGGTTAGTAGGATACTCCTTGGTGGGATATAGGTCAGTTGGGTACTCCTCAGTAGGATAATCCTCTGTTGGGTAAGCATCAGTTGGGTATGGATTAGTAGGATATCCCTTAATTGAATACCCCTTGGTGGGATATAAGTCAGTAGGGTACTCCTCAGTAGGATAATCCTCTGTCAGGTAAGCACCAGTTGGGTATGGGTTAGTAGGATACTTCCTGGTAGAATACTCCTCTGTCGGGTATGTGTCTGCTGGATACTTCTCAGTAGGATAATCCTTAGTTGGGTGAGTGCCAGTTGGGTATGGGTTGGTAGGATGCTCCTCTGTCGGGTAAGTGTCTGTTGGATACTTCTCAGTAGGATAATCCTTAGTTGGGTGAGTGCCAGTTGGGTATGGGTTGGTAGGATGCTCCTCTGTCGAGTAAGTGTCTGCTGGATACTTCTCAGTAGGATAATCCTTTGTTGGGTGAGTGCCAGTTGGGTATGGGTTGGTAGGATACTCCTCTGTCGGGTATGTGTCTGCTGGATACTTCTCAGTAGGATAATCCTTTGTTGGGTGAGTGCCAGTTGGGTATGGATTGGTAGGATACTCCTCTGTCGGGTAAGTGTCTGCTGGATACTTCTCAGTAGGATAATCCTTTGTTGGGTGAGTGCCAGTTGGGTATGGGTTGGTAGGATACTCCTCTGTCGGGTATGTGTCTGTTGGATACTTCTCAGTAGGATAATCCTTTGTTGGGTATGCATTCATTGGGTATGGGTTAGTAGGATACTCCTCTGTCGGGTATGTGTCTGCTGGATACTTCTCAGTAGGATAATCCTTAGTTGGGTGAGTGCCAGTTGGGTATGGGTTGGTAGGATACTCCTCTGTCGGGTATGTGTCTGTTGGATACTTCTCAGTAGGATAATCCTTTGTTGGGTATGCATTCATTGGGTATGGGTTAGTAGGATACTCCTCTGTCGGGTATGTGTCTGTTGGATACTTCTCAGTAGGATAATCCTTTGTTGGATGAGTGCCAGTTGGGTATGGATTGGTAGGATGCTCCCTGGTAGGATACTCCTCTGTCGGGTATGTGTCTGTTGGGTACTTCTTAGTAGGATAATCCTTTGTTGGGTATGCGTTCGTTGGGTATGGGTTAGTAGGATACTCCTCGGTAGGATACGCATTCTTATCCGTACGATAACGCCTAGTTGACGTTCTAAATGTCGTTGGCCTTGACTTGGTGCTCTTTGGATTCGGGCGTCTAGGGACGCAATAGCCCAACCCCTAGACAAAAAGTTAATGGCGATTAAAATGAGCGTGAAGTCGACAGTAGGTCAGTTGCCTTACCGTATCATATTCGCAATGTTCCTTGCCGTCACCAATTTTAACGCACTTGCCGTTCCGAAATTGCCAGTTGTCAGAGGTCCTGAAGGGGCCGCACTCATAGCAAGGTCCTCTTCCATGCCCTGCAAGCATGATACATTCAGCCACAGAATGGCTGAATTTAGACGCACACCAGATTACGCAAACAGCATAGCCATCCTGTCCTCCTGCATAGGTCGATGTAATGACACCTACAAGTAATACTTAGTAAATGCTGTATTATAGCTCCCCTGGTTTTCATCGCAAATGAGCAGCTCACCAAGCAGAAGGAATGGAAGTAACAGAACGCGCCCCATTGCTGCAATGGAGAGACACAGGTTAACTGGTGGAATGAAAATCCAATCTGCGGTAATGAATGTGGAAGTCTTAATACAAGTAGATATGTAGCTCAGCTCATGTGTTGTTTCTCTTAAGATAGAAGCCGAAGAGATAGGAAGTAGATAGCTAGGAGGCTCAGCAATATATATGTCGATTCAACATATATTCGCCATCTTTAACGATATCTATAATGATATCAATCATTAGGCATTCAAAAGCGTCATACAATCAACGATTGTATGGATGAAAGCCTAGAAGAAGAGAAGACCCTAAAAGACATGTCTTTGTCTATGGAGAATGGTTGATAGAATGCCCAGGGTATAGGCACGAAACTGGAGGATTGAGACCAGACCCGAATATCGGATCATAACCCTGCATGTCTTGTTCATGACAATAGATCTGGAGAATGTGGCCGTCAGGAACCACTGTATCTGGAGACCTTGTCGACGGAGTGTGTGGATGATGAACTTGAACATGAACCTGCTTGGTTGTCAAGAAAATGAAAATGAAGATGAGGCTGAGGCTGCGTCGTGTGCTTAGTCAGCTGCCCAGGCCTGTTGGTCAGTCAACACCATCGACCAACCTCTTCGACATCCACGAAAGCAGGAATCTCTTCGCTTTCACACGCTCCGGTTGCTCGATGCCAACTTGAATGCAGCTATCTGTACCATAAGAAACATTGTCTGAAATGGGGCTCTCAGTCCAATCCACGGTACTGGTGTCTTTGCCGTCTTGTTCCGTCCCGAGGCCGTCTCTATGCCATATCCAACAACGAGCTTGGGGTTGTGAATCTTGATTTTTGGAGTATTTGAAATATCTGGTCTTGTTTTTTTTAAGTTGTCAACGCGGCTGTTTATGCGGCAATCTCTGCACTTTTGGAGGTTTTTCTTGGTTTCATGTCAGATTTATCCAGATCTGACCATCTGCACAGTACATATCCTCTAGATTGACGCAGGACAAAACTTTATTTTACGTCCAATCCCTGCTAGCACTCCGACGTCGTGGAACAATAAATGCTCCCGAAGGTTGATATTCGTGTCATAGACATTTAGATCTTAGATACGCCGGATTAGCACTCGGCTTGTTCATCCTGCCTGGCAAAAGTTAGCTAGGCGCACCCGTTTTGAAGGAACTAAGCATTTGGACCTATGATAAATGCTCAATCCATCGTTAGGGCATGTGTTTCTCGCCGGAGTTGTTGCTCATTGGCATACACTACGATTAAGTGACTTGTCATTCAGTCCTAATCGAGGGTCATCGTACTCCAGGCGAGGATAGATGGTCCGAAAAGCATTGGCTGCCAAGTTCGGATTTATTTTGACTAGCACGGCTATCAATTGGCACAGGGTGGGATGAAGTTTCTCTAGCGCTTGCTAACAGCATCCACTTCCTTGGCTAAATCAATGAGCATCTTCACAGTCTCCCTGTCAGAGTCATCTACAGGAAAAGTACGATCGGCTGTCAAGCAACAAATGTTGCTCTCAGTAAGCTTCCACGCATCAACTTCCCCGGGAATAGCTGGCTCCACCATGTATGCCTCGAACTCGGCTGGCTTCCGCTTCTTACTATCGGCGTATTTGTTGCTTAGAAGCCATCCATTGAACCACAGCGGCATGCCATTGGTATCCAAGTGTAGTAGCTGGGGGCCGCAGATTGTGTAGTTTTCTGGCTTTTGCTCATTTCCTTCTAACGATGCCCGTCTCCCGTTTTTGGAGTCCTGCTGGAGGGTAATTTCATCTTTGGGCGGGGTCTCCTCGTCCTTAGCCTTTGAACCACGATCCTCAATCTTTCCAATAATGCCTGTAGCTCCACCATAAAATGCATATTGAGTGTCTCCAACTAGTTCCCAACCAATCCAAAATGTTTCTTTATCACCTAACGTGGAATCAGCAGATTGAAATTGTTGATTAAGGGAATGGAGGCAACTTACCATAAACCATATCGTACACACCAATTTTATTCTCGTCTTTATTCCCGTCTCGATCAGAGCCGTTCATCCTGCATACAAGCAACATTGCCATAAAATGTCTCCACTTGTCGATCACTACAACCCCGGACTCTTGCATATGGCCGCTCTCGCCTGTCCAAAATCTGGTCGCCATGGCGTTCCTAGATATGGGCCTGAGAAGAATTTGTTGCAGCCACTCCTTTTTCGATTCTGGCATGATACGCCGGTCTTTGAAGAATAAAGCGCCTGTTTCTGTATATGCTTTTTCTTCGAAGAGTTCTTCCGGATTCTGTAGGAAAAGTGCATCGGCGTCGACGAAAAGGACCTCCCGGAAACTCGAGAGTAGCATAGAGAAGGGTTTGGCTGCCCAGCCCTTGAGCTCCCATCCCTCATCATTTACCATCTGGCTAAGGTCTCTTGTAATAACCCCTGGGAGCATTTCCAGTTGGGCACGATAATCTTCGCTCAGATCGCCATCACCTAGATACATGATCTCAATGGGTAAATTGCAACCAAGTCGTCGAAAAGATTTAATCGATACAAGTAGGTAAGGTGCTTGCTTATTTCCCGCTGTGGAAACAATCCCTCGACCTCCTTTTTGAAAGTTCACATGGAGATGCATGTGGCCGGGGAAAACAGGGGAAGTCCATGGGAAGAGATGTGTCGCCAAACGTTGTGAAAAGGAGCGATACGATTCATACAGATGAACGGTCTCAGCGAAAGTTGATGATGATGGCAGCGCTTTTGGGTTAGTTCGTAGATACTGTATAATATCATCGCGCACATACATGATGCCACCCTCTGAAAGAATATGTAGATTTTCCCAGGCTTGGAAATAGCGGTTATATGCTCTCGTTCTCAGCCCGACTTCTCGCAGTTTCTCCTTCCCAGTCCCCTCGATCGGTTTCAACAATTCCCTAATATGGATTTCATCCGGCATTATCGACAGGATGTACTCAAGCCCAGCTCTAATATGAGCAACGTTTCCATCTTTTTTTGTTTGGAGGTGTGAAGTAGTAATACGCCTACTATGGCCTTCTCGTATTCCTGGCGGCGGATCCGTAACCAAATCATGTTTCTCTACAGGATCTAGCTCAGGTAGTATATCTGCTTCCGGAATCATCATCGCTGGCTGGGAATCCTGAAGGACTTTGTTTTCTTTGAGATTTGGGTTTCCGGTCATCGGCGGGGTATTGTATTCGCTTCGTCGCTCTTTTATGTATAGCTCGGGTGCAAGGGAAGTCAAAGTCATAAAGCACAAAGTGATTGCGCATAAAAGAAACAATAATCGCACAGCAGTTCTCCATCTTCGAGGTGGAGAGTAACGGCGAGATAATCGATATCGACTAACCTGACGGGACCACATCATATTGGCTGAGGAAGGCTCATCTCTAAGGCTCCTAGAGGCCATATGAGTTCCTATGCATCTTCTAAACGCATGAGAAGTAGTCTAGAAGTGGGCAGTTATTGGCCCGTGGGAACGTCCAGTAAGGACTCAAGGAGCAGCTCGCGCTCCCTGGTATTTACTTGCGTCGGCGCACATTTGTGCTGGGGGGCCTTGAGGGATCTGCTCCCAGTGGCGCTCTCAATTAATTCTTGAAAACGAATCTAGACTCAGTGCTGTACGGAATAGTCTTGAGTAGGCGTAAGCCATTTTTCTGTTGTTTATCGATCATCCATGGCCTATGGTGATGCTAGGAGCGCCAGTTCTATACGGAAAACAGGATAGAAGTTGCATCGTTCAAAACTAGATATTTGCTGCACAATTCGCATGTGGATGTGGATGCAATCCCCTGGACTAGCCCGCATGGGAACATGTGGATGGAGACTAAACTCCTTCTACCCTAACGCGGCCCGCAGGCCAAGAAAGGAGCTTTTTTCAGCCACTGCTTGCTTCTATTATTGACAGCCATGTTTTGTTCCCGCACGCGTGGAGTCCGTTCATGGCAAAGACGATTTGGGTTATTTATCCCGCGTTGATTCAATCGCTGGCCTCTAAGGTGACCACCTCCTACCGCCTCGGAACCGCTCCAATCTTGCTAGTTTGATGCCAGTCAAATGTCCTAACTAGAAGGAAAGGGCTTATACGGGAGCTCTTAGGCACACGCCTATGTGACAGCCCCCGGGCTCAAACAGATCAAAACTACCCAGGCGCAGAGCAACATAAACCGCAGGCTGTGGACTGTAGACGGCGGAAGTAACACATCGGCGATTCAAGATGAAGGAGATAGATATTGAGGAAGCGGCGGTTACCCCGTCACCGAAAGCAAGCAAAGGTCAAAATTGGCCTCTTGTTGCGTGGATAACGGTGAATGTGTTGGCGACAACGGCGATTGTATGCCCGTCCCCCTTCGTTACTTAGAGCCCATGCGATATTAAGAGAACAGATAATGACTAACAGCGAAATATAGGTCTATGTTAATAAATTAATCTTCACCGACCCGTCCCTAGGGAGATGCCCTCTGGGCTTTGTCGCCTTCCACTTTTTCATCACATCGGCGATGTTATACTTTACTTCTCGCCCGAAAGTGCGCCTGTTCGTCCCAGTACGGGCGAGTATCGTCTCCGTGCTCCCTCTCACATTGATTATGTGCGCCAACGTTGTCTTCCTAAACTTGTCGCTTGCCTTTTCCACGATCATATTCTACCAGGTCGTTCGGATTCTACTCACTCCTCTTACTGCCATCATCGATTTTTGCTTCTACGGCTCGAAAATCCCTTTCAGGGCATGTCTCGCCCTTATCCCTACCTGTATCGGAGTCGGGATAGTATCATACTATGACTCCTCCTCAAAATCTAAGAAAGCCACTGTAGAAACTACCTCAGCGCTTGGCGTGGCCTTCTCATTTGCTGGCGTCACTATCAGCGCGATATACACCCTTTGGGTTGCACAGTATCACAAAAAGCTGAAGATGGATAGTATGCAGTTACTTTATAATCAGGTCCCCTTCGGCGCATTGCTTCTCTTCATCTTCAGCGTTCTCACAGATACATTTCCTGTTTGGGGTGACGTGGTCCCTCGACAATGGATGTTACTTGTGATCAGTGGAGCTTGCGCCTGTATCGTCAACCTCTCTCTCTTCTTCATTATCGACCATGCAGGCCCGGTCAGTAGTACCGTGACTGGCCACCTAAAAACTTGCGTCATCGTTGGACTTGGCTGGGCCACGAGCGAAAAGGTAGTGGGTTTTGAAAGCAAGTTTGGTATCCTTTTCGCAATATTAGGGATCATGCTGTACTCGTTTGTGATGCATGGGAGGAATGCGAAAGGTTCTCAACCGGAAAAGGGCAGAGAGGACGAAGTCGTGAAATAGATGCCCAGGGATGGATGAGAATGTTTATGTTGTATGATTCTATTGCCACCCCCCCTCCCACTTGAGGGATTATAATGTTGATATAACGTCAGCTGCTATTTAACCATCTGTGTACATGTACTTAATTTTTTGGGAGGTTATACAGTGTCTTGGTGATCAGTTTTGGAAAGCGTGAGTGGTACATGGAATTTAATGTTTATTGACTGGGGACTGATTAATAGATAAATTATACGAGCAACCATTCATTATTGTTTTGACATACTTGCGGTGACATTCAAGGTTCAAACTCCCCATAATCCATCTGGCAATCCTCATATTTACACGAATACATTGTCCCCTCACCTGCACATAACTCAGAAGTAGCACTCCCTAGTTTGAAACGGGCCAGCTTTCCGCTTCCAGTCGACATTTCTTTACTCCATTCTGTATCCTCTATCAAATCTGGAACGGAATGCACGGCTTTCCCTGTGACCTCCGTTATCCAGCCGTATCGTTTCCAAATAATCTCCGACAGGCGACGGTGTGTCTTGTACTGATGCACGGCATATTGAACGTCTCCCCTCTCGTTCAATGCCTCGCCCCACTCATTGATATTCACAATCGGTGTTGTGCCGACCGTGCCAAAGAGCGCCTCTTCATTCGGCACCATGGATGCGTGTCCGAGCCCCGCTTGAGTCAACTTGGTGTCGAGTAACTTTGAATAGAATATATGGATGTGGATAGCCTGATCATTGCATTCATACTTTGACCACATCAGCTCCGCTGCCATGGTCCGCAAATACACTGCCATTGCCATTGCAGTACCGTATGTCGACCCGGCACACAGGCGATCCAGGGACTTGTAAGACTCCGCTTGGTTTTGCGACATATAGGAACGAGCGCACGCATCGAACCAACCAACATGCACTTTACATTGACCAATTTTCAAGCCGCGCCACTCTGCGAAGTAGAGCAGTTCAGTACCGCTTCCCATCTCCATGTTAAATGGGTTGCGCTGGAATGCCACGTCGAGGTCGCAAACGAGTATCTTGTCCCAAGCAGTCGGCACGCCCCCAACGAAATTGGCGAACCCCTGAAACCGCCTCATGACAATAGGTGCATCCGTTTCGGGTAGCACCCCGACGAATTCCAGAGAGGGGTACCTTTCAAGCAGAGCTTTGAGGCCGTCTGAGGGGGTTCGAGCGACGTCGGGAGGAGTGATGATTTTCACGAGGACTTTGACTGGGAGGCAGGCAGAGTGGTCTGGCACATCGTGGCCGACTGCCAGCTCCAGCGACTGCATAAAGATGAATATCTGGTCCAACATTTTCGCTCCATCCACGGCGCTCAGAATAAGATTGGGTTTCAAAGAAGGACATGATGTGATTGTGGTAACAGGCCGCAGGGCCTTCATGTCCACTTGAGAATTCCACTCAGAGAATCCGACTGCTATGGATTTCACATTGAGGTAGACGCAGATGGTCACCACGAAAATTATTAAATAGACGAAGGGGCCTCGTTTAAAAGTCCATCGACAAAGCGACACAGCATTGACGCCCATATTGTCTTGTACAGATGGAGTGGGTATATATTTGCTTAGTGAAGGAAGGGCACATCAACCAGGAGGACCATCTGCACCACTTCGAAGATCAATCAATGAGGGAAATATCCATGTTCGCTAGATGACAGATTTCAATATCCTGACCTCAGCAATCCCACTCTGCAGCAGGTCGAAAGGTGGCTGGCGTCCATATCAACATTTGTTCCGATGTAGTCGAGACTGTTTCGACTCCAACTCCCGCTCAAGTTTCTGTTGATATTTGTCCAATACAAGGAAATTCAACGATCAGCACATGTCCTCGTCAGGCACACAGTTGATGAATAACAAATGAGAAAAGAACAAATAACCTATTAGGTAACTTCTCTTACATTCTCTCTTTTCCCTTTCCTGTTATTTCTTTTTTCGATGTAGCCAGTGTGTATGTTATGGGGCGTGCCGCGGATGACTGGCTTGAGATTTGGGGAAACTAACTATTCTATCTATATTTTCTTTTTCCGCCTCTATATCAGCTTTGTTCTAACCTGAAATCCCGCGGTCCGGGACCCTTGACCAATTGATGGTCCAGATTGGCAATAAGATGTTAAATAATAGGCAGCCTTGAAAGAGATCTCTGCAAAGGGGATAATTATGCCTTGATCACAGCTAAGGGAGTGAGCCCCTCCTATGTCCTCCTGTTGGGCATCCGCTGTTGGTCAATCTTGGAAACGACGGAGGTAGAGAAACGTGCATTATCCGGTTTATTCATAGTTTGAAAATATATTATGCCTTGTTGTGTCCAAGTCATTCCCTTGGGGCCATCTTCAAGGATTTACAACTCCGGTAGACTATGAAGCACACGGTGCTACTTCTCCTAGCATGCTGGATTCGTTTTATAACTTCAGAACCACAGCAAACTGAGGCGCGCGAATGTCTAAGCAACCGAATAGAATATGGCGGGGCCTACTCATATCAGTGTTACTGGTCTTGACGTATGATCTTGTCAACCGCACGCCATACCGGCACCTACGATTTCATTCCAGGAGCGCTCCAAACAATGGCTTCCTATCCATTGCCAAAGCCCAAACGCTGTGCAGCACGTACGACCTATCAATCTTCCCGGAGCGAGCACAACATCGCAAGATCTACGACCTCATGTTGGTCAGCACCGAGCTAGACTGGCTTGAAGTTCGTATGAATGAGCTCAAACACCATGTCGACTACTTCGTTATAGTCGAATCGGCGCATACATTTACTCAGAAACCCAAGCCTCTCCATTTCAAGGAGAACTTTACCCGCTTCGCTCCTTTCCAATCTCAAATACTTTACCACAATCTCGATATCTCCAGCTTAGGATCCAACAGCACCTGGGAGCGTGAAGCTTTCCTTCGCAACGGACTCTTCGATTCTGTCTTTCCCAGTTTAGTCGGTGATGCGGAGCCTTCACTCAATGATGTTATCCTGGTATCAGACGTCGACGAAATTCCCCGGCCATCTACCCTGAACGTTCTCAGAAACTGCGCCTTTCCGGAGCGTGTCACCCTCCGCAGCCGTTTCTTCTACTACTCCTTCCAATGGCAACATGTCGGCGATGAATGGCACCATCCCCAAGCGACATTCTACCAAGGGCCAGAGAAAACAATCAAACCAGAAGACCTACGGATGGGTGGCGGCGCACTTGATCTGTGGAATGCCAGCTGGCACTGCAGCTCCTGCTTTTCAACAGTGGCTGAGATGGCGAAGAAGCTGGAGAGCTTTTCCCACACAGAGTACAACAAGCCGGAGTTCCGGGAGCCGCAGGAAATCGTGCGAAGGGTTCGGAATGGGCTGGACCTGTTCGATCGTGAGGGCCAGTTGTATGAGCGTGTACAATCGGGTTATGACGCACCGCAATATGTGAAGGCGAATAAAGAACGATTTTCATATATGTTGGATCGGGATGCAGAAAATGCGAACTTTAAGGACTATACTTCGGAATGATGGGTCTAGATTCCTTATTTTACACTATCTTATCGTGTATTTTATAGAACGGACTTGATAAGCGTTTTTAGAATTGGATGGATACTCACCAAATAAGAAGTGAGGGTTGTGGCGTTTACATGGAGCTACATAGAAGAGGGAAACGAAAAACGATAAGAACTGGATGACGATTGAATGAGTTCATTGATCTAAATTTAGAGCACATACTGTAGTTACACAAGCTCCTAGAGCGGCGTTCATCCTATTGTATAACTATGCAATATATCCAATATTGGCTACTAGCTTGCTAACCTTGGAATAACCCAAATAGATGAACAAGGTTTACCCGAACCCCTGAATATGACATATACTTGTAGCCGGTTATTCAAATCTATATAATCCATCGCTGATGGAGGACGCTTGCTCAACAAAACAGAGCTAAAAATACTATAGTCATTACGGAGTACTGTACATCTTCTTCAATTAGTAGTCTTAAATTTCTGGGTTAGCAAATAAGTATGTATAACCCGATTCAACAGAACAGACAAATAGATAATAATTCACAATCAGAACTTTATCAAAATGTATAGAAATTGCAACAGAAGTGTAGTGGCACGTACGTGTTTGAATGCCATGAACTAACGGGATTTTTTGAAAACCCTAAAAATAAATGAAGTTAACAGCAAGGTATAGGGCTCGTCTAGCTGGGCCAATTTACATGTTCCAAGGACGCTATGCTATCATCATCAACCCGCGGGGGAAAACAGAAAAAGAAGTAAAAAAAAGAAAAGAAAAAGGGCAACACTCTAACTATCTGCTCTCCAACCGGCTCAACGCACCCAACACAATCGCCAAGTCTTCCTTCTCTATTCTGAAATCATCCGCTCCATCACCATCTGAATCTGCACCTCCCTCTTCGCCCTCTCCCTCCTCCTCGTACGCCCCCGACTCTCCAACTTTCTGCTTCCCCTTTCTCCTTCTCGTTCTCATCGTACGACCATTACTGCTAACTCCCAGCTCCTCCCCGCCAACTCCTCTTGGCCGTAACCGATCGCGCTCTTCCAATCGACGCGCACAGATCGCAAGAACCTGCCCCGCCACGTCATCCGCTGCGCGGCGGAAGAGTTCTACGTCGTGGATTCCTGAGGCGAAGGAGTCGAGTGTTGGTATTAAAGAAGTTGTTAGGCGGGAGAGGCGGGACGTTATGTTAGATATGGAAGTATAGGATGGGTCTGCTTGTTGGGTTGGTGTAGATTTATCGGTAGAGGTGGAAGTAATGTTTGATGGGTTTAGAGAAGTCAGGATAGCTAGTTGTGAAGGGTCGAGGAGGTCGGGGTTTATCGCATTTAGTTGTGGAGTGGATGTGGATGGTTGTTGGGTATCGGAGGATTGTGCGGATGTCGAAGATGGAGGTCTTATTCTTGGAATGGACGGGGGACGGAGTAGGGATGTGAGTGATTGTCGTTCTAGTTGAAGTCTGCCGTATAGAGTTAGTATTTGCTTTGGTTGTATGCATAAAAAAATGAACTGCATTGAACTGCATTGAACTGCATACTTGTGTATCTGTGCCTCCAATTCTTTAATCCTCCCCGCGTTCTGTATATTTCTCGGGTTCGGTTTCTTTACCACAACAGCCGCGGGTTCCGATTCTTGCCGGCTAAACCAGTCCGAAAGCTCTGGACGATTCGCAAAATCTTCGAGCAGTTCCTCTTGTATTACCCGCGCTACATGAGGGAATGCAGTTAGTAACACTTCAAATCGTTGCATCAAATGATGCCCGTTCTCAACTTGAAAAACATACCAGCTAATCTCGCGCTTTCATCCCCGGACCTGGACCCGGTCGGCTTTTCCCCCAACGCCCGAGTCGCGCACCACGTTAGTAACTGTCGCATTCTCTTCGGCTCCGACAACCCCTCACACTCGATGTGTTTGTAGAAGTGCGCCGTATCGACTTGGTCATGCGGTAACGCTATCGGTAGAAACATGACTGTATCAGCAACTTTTCCTAGCTACAGAATAACCACGGCGGATAGGAAAAGGGAATAAGCAAAATCGTATATAAAAGCACAAAAAACACACCATTCGACACCCCGGATTCAATCAACAAACTCGCCCTCCTCCCTCTTCTCCCAAGACTACTCCGCCTCTGGCCCTTTTGGCTCTTCTCCATCCGCATTTCCTTATTTTTGCGAATGACAGGCGTATCCGCCAAGGGAAGTGCAATCTTCTGCGTGTTCGTATCTGCCAATGGCGTAGTACCTTGCCCTTCCGTCTCCTCCGTTGGAGGCGCCATTTGTGGATCTTTGGTCTTACTTGACCCCCGCTTTTTTGTAATTGTGATCGCTGCTGGTTCGACATCATGCGATTTCTGCCTGGATTTTGATGACTTCTCCGTTACTATTGCGGTTGGTTCCTCTTCAGCCAGCCGTTTAGACGTTCGTCGAAGTGGCCGAGTGGGGAGCTTTCCATTCGGAGTCTCAAATGTTACATGGCGCGATGCGTCTGTGGATTTGGGAGGTCTCCCTCTCCCCTTCTGCTTCCGGACAACTTGTTCTTGTTGTTGTGTATCATCATCCCTTAGCGGTTGTGGGACTGAGTTCTCATCGATTGCAGCGGGCTTCGATTTCTTCGTGGCAGTTGCGCGAGTGAACTGGAACCCTTCAACATCCTCGTCATATTCAGCTGTATGGTAGAGAAAGCGAAAGTGAAAATTAGCATTGATAACCCACAAGGTGCCCTCAGACCTTGGCAACCAGTGCAAAAATCATCCCATCCCTCTTCCAGCGACTGAAACAGCAAAGCGAAAAGAGCCACTCACCAGCCTTTCTCTTCCCGCCCCATCCATTCGCACCCTTCTCAGGCCCTCCTTTCACGCTCCTCTTCGTTCCATTCCCATTTGGCAGCCGCCCGCGCGCCTGCGACATCACCGGATCGATAGTCGTCAGCGGAGCGCGACTACGCGTCGTCCCCTGGTCGTACCTGCTTGGCCTGCTATCTCCAAAATCTATGATATGATTTGTCGTGCTTCGTGTTCTGATTGTGGCTGCAGTAGTTGTGAAAGTGGCTGTCATGTCCAGCTGATCAGCGCAGACAAGTTTTCCCTCGGTTGCTGTCGTAGTTGTCGCGAGTTTGAGTGACGCTGGCTCGCTCAGTGTGAGAGGGCGAGTGAAACACGCGGAGATATGTGACGGGTTTCGGATTGCTTCTATCCACCGGCGGTTTCGTTATATGTACATGCGACGCGCTGGATTTCTGTGTAGGTGCTTCCGTTTTTTGGACTCTCCCTATGTCGCCCGCAACAACCAACAGTTCGTTAGATGATAAAAGATTACGCGCCCACTGAGCCGTGAAAAGTCGTAGCCGCCAACCCGCGATCGTAAATTTCTCGTCCTTGCTTTCCAGTCCCTTCCTATAGTGTCCGCGCGATAAAGTTCCAATCGCAAATTCACACGAAATGCGTTATCCGAATCTACTCTTAGCGACACCCAATCCGTCTCGCAGCATTTCCCCAGGCGGCCCGAACAATGAAAATACCCTTCTTATATCCCAACCGGCAAGGTCCTATAATCGTAGCGAAATGTGGAGTATCGTCTGTGTCGTCCGTGTGCTTCGTTCGTTCTCCCCCTCAGTATCCTTATTCCCTCCTGTCCGTGAATTGGCTGTTCGTTCCCTTCCACACAGAGGCACAACACAAGTAATCGGCCGTCACGAACGTAAAGGATTTGCGCATTCCCGAGGTATCGTATAACGGGGTCAGGCGTTAATGCACTATGATGGATAAGTATTGTGTGTGCCCGTTTCCCTTTTATCGATTTCACACCTATCAATCATCCTGATCATTCGTCCCGGAGTTGTTTTGGTCTTGGCGCGTCGTCAAATATTATGTCAGCACTCGACAGTGGATCTAAGCTAGTCCAATTAGGGAGTAGCGTATAGGGTTGAAGGCTCTATCAATATCATGTACGGAGTATATTGGGATCTATTGGGAACGGACAGAAATATTTCTTCATAGGGGCTCGAATCGCAATCGGTAGAAATGTTCTCCTGACATTAAATTGCAGACGAGCTGTTTAAAATAACTTGTTTTGCTTTGTATTAAGATTTCAAAAAAAACCTTTGATATTAACAAGAAAAGAAAAGAGTATACATGAAATAATATCAACAAAAACTAAAAACATATCGTAGACAAATATACCGTCATCACGGGTCGTCATCATTCCATGTTATAGGGACATTTTCCTAATGTTGTTGAATCATCTATGGAGTCAGTCATGGCTTTCGAAGTTCCGCCTCCCGTCTTCTATATTTTCCGTTTGCGTGCCTGCTTTCCTGTCTAGGCCCAAATGTCCAAGTTTCCGGAGTCTAAGATCTAAACGCATCGACCCATATATATCTAGTATCTAGAATTCTCTAACCCCGAAGCTTACCGAATTGCATCTCTGCCTATTCGTCAGATGGTGCATTCAAGCTCCCTTCGATTCTGCGCATTGCCTCTGCTCGGTCCTCCGCCGTGATACTCTCCTCGCTCTTCCGCATGTCGGGAGTGTATTCAGGTTCGTCAGGGTGGTGGCCAATTGACATACCAACGCGGACCTAAGGGAATGGTTATAGTTAGAAAACGAAATACATATTTCAAAAAGACAATAAGGCGAGGATTCATCCCCTCCCGTTTCTTTGCTTTCCCATTGCTTGTTTTTCCCATGGGGTAGATAAATGGCCAAACTTACCAAAGTCTCAAGGGCTCCTAGTGAATTTCCGACAAGGTCCGAATCGAAGGCTATCTTGCCCGGTTCGAACAAGACTAATAACGTACTACCGCCGAATTTGAAATAACCCAGCTCGTCCCCACGCGCCACCTTCTGGCCTCCTTCAGCGGTAATAACAGTGCTTCCAACCATCATTGCTCCGACGCAAATGACCATGACACGACCATGCTCAACCGAATCGATAGGAACTATGATCCGCACGTTTTCTCCGTATACATCCAGCGCGGAACGGATCGCCATTGGATTAACGGTGTAGTATTCACCCTCGATGGTTTTGGGCGTCCCCATCATGCCATCGACGGGGATGTGGAAGCGGTGGTAGTCTTGTGGGGCCAATCGGAATATTCCCAGGGCGCCGTTCTTGTACCGCTTCGCGTCCTCCGGGTAGGCCTTGCCCAGGAGTCGTTCCACGGAGAACTCCCTTCCCTTGACCCAAATCTTAGTAGCTTCGTCGATGCGGTCGAAGACAACAGACCGACAATCCGCTGGCGATACGACGATTTTGGGGTTATTTGGCGCAGAGCAAGGGCGGGCACCTGGCTTCAGAGCGCGGTAGAAAAACTCATTGAATGATTTGAATTCGTTCAGGGGAAGGAGAACTTCGGACATATCCAGCTGGTGGAAGTTGATGAAAGGTACGATTTGAGCTGCGGAAGCAGGGTCATCATACTTCTTTCCTTGCTTAATACTCAATGACTTGAGCATTTTCCGAACTGCGATCTGGTCAGCATAACCGCTGTTGCAGCGCCAAACGGACGAAAGATACGTTTGGGTACTTACTTCGTTTCTTCTCCATTTCCCTACTCTTCAACCCTTTGTAAAGTAGTCGAATCCCAAGTCTAACGTAAACACTCATCCGCTCCTCGTTAATCTGTCCCGTGATCCTATCCTGAACAAGGATGTTGGCAGAGTTTGCACCAAGTTTATAGCCACCGTAGGATATCTTCGTAATAACTTTCGAATACCACTTCCGCTGCGCCTGGCTAGATGTTACAAAACCACCCATAACCAGATTATCAACCTGTCTCCAATCTTGACTGACGCAGGTAGCAATATGGGTTATGATATCGGCGTCTGATCTCTTTCCGAGTCGTGGCTGATGGCAAATTGGGCATTCTCGAACTTCGACCACATGTTCCTCACCTCCATCCTCGCCAAGGTCATCGGGGTGGAGGTTATATTCGCTGTCCCCAGAAGAGCTAGGTTCATCACGAGAAATGGTGGGTATAGCTGGTCGCTCAGGATCTGTATTTGAAGGCAGTGTGAGGCTAATTTCAGGTACGTTGTCCTCACTACTGGATTGATTCGCACTTTCGGAGCTCTCTTTGCCTGGATGGTGAGGAATATTGTCTCTCATCTTGTCACTCAAAGATTTTTTCTGCAGGGACTGAAGAGTATCCTCCAGGCATATAACAGCTTGGTCAAATGTGAGGTCTACGGTTTCGCTAGGTTCATTTTCCGCCGCGAACCGCTTAAAGAACCCATCTATGGTTGACTCTTTGAGCGTCGAACCCAGAGTGCCAAGCATTGTCGTCAGTTCAACTTTGCTGATGCGCGCGCTATCATCAGCGTCATACTGTTTCAGCATTGCTCTCCAAAACTGCTGGCGCAAGGCCGGGTACGGCATATATTTCGCTTTCACATGAAGTTCAGGGAAATGCTTGTCCTCCCAGCGCTCCTTGTTTTTAAGAACAAGTGGGATGATGTAAGTCTTGAGACCATATTCATCAGCAGGAACTTCGGGCTCTTCTACCATATTCCCAGATGCTGGAAGGTTTAACTGGGAAGACGCCTCAGATGGGACATTGGGAGGGGTAGTGCTTTGTTGTTCTTGCCCAGATTGGCTAGATAACGATGTTGCTGAACTCTTCGTCCTCAGTGATGGCTTTGCCAGCTTCGTCAAACTAGTAGCCGATGAAGATCGAGACAAATTGAGGCGGAATCGCGATTTAGTAGCGGGTGGTGTGGGTGAAGGTTCCGATGGCGGTCCAGGTAAATTGTATAAACCCGTCTCTGGGTCTGCAACTGGTGCTGCCAGTGTAAGTGTGTGTAAGGGGAAACTGGACGATGCAACGAAATCGTTCCCGGATAGCTTATCCCTGTCAATGACTGTGAAGGAAATACAATACGACTGCTCATGTTTCATAACTTGGAAAACCATTTTCTCCTCGAAAACAGGGTTTAGATTATGGCGTATAACGCGCGTTCTGAGCGTTTTCTTGCCCAAAGAAGTAACAACGAAGGGATCCATGTCGAAAGAGGTACGTGTCACTGAAGTACGGTGCCGATTAGGATTGTTGTATCCGGAAAAAGAAAAACAATAAAAATAAATTGGGGCGATGAGGCTGCTTACTATTCCTCTCTGGAGGCAAATCTAAGATCTTCACTATTTCCATAAACACAATCCCGGAGACGCCATCCTTGGAGCCTGAGAACTCATAAGCTCTAGCAGCGATGGATTTGCGTTTCAAACGGGCAAGTCGAAGTTTGCGCCGGCGCTTCTCGACGACATCTGGCTTGGTGGGATCATCGGTTCCATCAGTTGTCTCGTCCTCCTTCTCGAGGTCGTCTGTGTCGGGGGAAGTAACAGGGATAATTTCGTCCTCATCATCGCTAGACACTAATACTTTAAATTTCTGAAGGATCTCGTTTGGCTCAGCAGACGGGTTCGTAGGATCAAAGAGAGTGAATTGCATCTGAATTTCACCAGATACATCGCCACTCTTCCTTCCCGCTTTCCTCCCAGAGTGAAGCGTATACCATTGCGGCTATATCCCAACCATCAGCCGCATGCAAACAAAGTATGGTTCACGCGACCTCTTCCCAAACAGGGGAACCCACCTGTGGCTGGATCGTTCCAGCAGAAAAGATATCTTCCAGAGGTATATCGAATTCCCCCATGTAGTCTTTGCCAAATCTATCTTTATCCCAACATATGCATTCGAGGAGGGGTACCCCAAGGATTGGTAAGTCGAAAGAGACGTTCCATTCTGGATTCAACGTTTTGGTTATCGTGGGAGTGGACTGTCGAGCTTCGCCTAAGCTTACAACCAAGTACTGCGTACATCAAGAACAGGAAGACGCAAAACAAAATCAGTCGGCAAGATCGGACAAGGTGACAGGGTATGATGGGTAGGGAAAGCTCACGGGATCACTCAAGCCATTTCTGTCCTTCGGTGCTAGGTTTCTCCCCTACGAATAAACAACCTAATTAGCTTCTGCTCCATCACACACAAGTACTGTTGGTCTCATAGACCCGCATATAGACAGGGGAACCAATGGTGTGCATACGGATATCACAGTGGCCTTGAGAATCAGCGGTTTGGTATCGGTGCCTGAGGGCGTAAGGGCAGGACTGAGATCGCCCGAAGGAGGCATAGCATTGCTTTTGGCGCTCAGATGGCTCCCGACGCGACGTGGCAGCGATATCCGAACCATGTTGGGATGTGTTTAAGATTATGAAGGCGAACGGAGTTCGACGGAGAAACGGTCGTCACAAGCTTGGGGCGGGGAAGTGGATGCAACCAGATTTAACGGTCAACGAGAGGAGGTGAGCGGGACGACCCAGCGAGAGCTAAGGGCGAGTAAGTTGGAGGTGCCTAGTAGTAGTGGTGGTGGTAGTAATAGGAAACAGCACGATTCTCGAGGAGATATTCAGCGATCCTGGAGAGACGAGCATAAGAGATCTAAAAGACAACAATGAAGCACAAACAGCTGTCTTTAGGAAGAACAAGAATTGGAGTGTCTCAGCTGAAGAAGTGGAAGGGTGGAATGTGGAAAGGGGGAATGATTTCTATATGTACGCAAGAGGGATAAACCCGACAGAAGAAGGGGGGGGGGGGGTTGACAAGGAGAGGAATAAACGAGGATGAGAGGTTCCTGGATCTGAATCTCGATCTGGGTCTGTGGTCGTGATTTGGCTATTTGTTGACCAGCTGTGGTGGAGGGAGCGGTCAGACACCAGCAACAGCGGGCGTCATCAGCGGGGACATAGCTTAGGAAGACAAAAACAACACGTCGCAACACGACACGACACACGCAACCACAGACACCAAGAGAAGCAAAGAAGGGATACTGAACAGAGCAGCAGAACGAAAAGGGGAGACAATTATGAACACAATCTACGGAAGAGGCCAATGTTTTGTGGGCGAGCAGCAGCAGCAGCAACAACAAGCTGGTGGTTGGTCTGCGGTCATGTCAGTGTGGTGGGAAGTTGCTCCAGATGCTAATCCGGAGCTTAGTCGGAGTTGGGAGGCTGAAGCGTGCCCAGCTGGCCTATCAGAAGCCTTCCAGTCGCAGCAGGCTTAAGCCCCAAGCCTTGGGCGTGGCTAGTGGCTGCTGGCTACCGAGAAACCCAGCGGCGAATAGGGGCTAGTCCCGGCTGCCCAGGCGTGCCGCTTCCCCGATGCGGCCCCGATGCTGCCCCCGATGATGCCCCCAAGTAATCTCACCAGCCTCCAACCTTCCAAGCCTCCAACACCAGGCCAAAAGAATCGACCCTTGCCTGATCTCTGATCTTCAGCTGAATCGATGCCTAGCGAAAACGGCAGCCTCAAAGGCTCAGAGACCTATTTTCGTCGATCCGAATGGACACATCCAGGAGAAATTGTCCTGATAACCCCAGCAATTGTTATGATATGGATGTTACACTTGATACACTTATTATTACCTCGGAATGTGTCTGCGCTCAAGTGAGAGTTTATGCACGATTTTACTAATAAATATGACCCTCTTCTCTAATAAGAATTGCAGGTGTGCATATCTCGGCCGGATTTTTCCAACTAGTCCCATAGCTAGCGCAAGGAATCGGCAGCTCAACAGGCCAGTCAATGGAGGGGTAAACTCAAGTTTCTCCACGGCCAAAAAAAAATGCCACAAGACCAAGACTGCGCATTCCGAAGCTGTATTTAGAATTTTACTAAAAACACCTTCTCTGCCCCAATAGCAATGGATGGTCGATGAAAATTAATCCAAGCACGGGGGTGAGCCTGTGTCCAGCTGTTTCTATCGCCCGAATCTCCCCCAATGGAGTCAAGAAAAGCCGAAAGCAAAAAGAAAATCCAGGAATCAGAGAAGACCACATTTTCTCCTCTCCCTCCTCGTTAACTTAAATCATCTCCTGCGTTCATAGGTGGCTGAATTTCCACCCCACCTTCACATCCCAGCTCCCAGCCGACACCCTGAAACAAGCCACACATATCTCAATCACATCATGCTGCTCATCCGGTTGGTTCCGCAATTCAGATCCTGTCTTCAAGTTATCGGTGTGGAGAGCTAATAATGGGGCCCTTCGACCCTCTCTCTGCCGGATATCCTTAAATACCTATGTCAGCATCCAGCACATCAAGGGCCAAAAGCCTCACGCCAATCCACAATTCAGAGTTATTCGTCCTGCGTGCGACATACTCCTAAGTCAACATGTCTTGTATAGGACAGTGCACGAGAGAATCAATCGTCATTGATGACCTCATTATTCCTCATCCTCACCGCTGGCAAAGTAAGTGTCAGAAAGGCTCCATACCAGGATGTAAAGAGAGATTATTCAAAACATTTTGATAAAAAAGAATGGGGATCAAAATATCAAATACCTACAACGCCCCCCACCCCGCTTGCTAAGTAGATCTACTGCTCTCTCTTTGACTGCAGAAGTTATCTACATAGTAGTGGGGGCTATTACCTGGCCATCTTCTGGGTTTTTTAGATACCATAAAGTAACCTCACTATTTTGTATCCTCGCCCCGGGAAATGTGCTCTTTTAGCTGATTGTGATATTTCAAGTGCTATTCCTACTTCCTCCTGGAAAGTGAGAAAGTCGTCCTCCCTCTCGCTTTTAGCCAATAGAAGAGTTGTTTTTTTTACCATACCACACTTCTCCTCACTTACCCGCCTAGTAGGGTTGGGTTACGCAGCGGTTGTAGAATTTGAAGTGTCGCTATGAAAGGTCTACTACAATCTGCTCAACTAAAGCCTTGGCTTCTAATTTCAAAGCCCCTCATGATCCTGTAATTCGCAGAAATTGGATGTATGTAGTATTCTGTGAGAGACCCAGAGCCTTATCCCTACCTCCTTAGCTGTCGCTTCTCGTACGAAACCTTATCTAAACAAATTCCAAACCCCATTTCCTTAGCTTTTTCCCATAATACCATATTTGGCTGAGGGGTCATGATGCTCACTCCGCAGATATATGCCCAGACTTAGCACAAGTAGGGCAGCAACTAGTTGATCCATTGACACTATGAACTATATCGCCCATGATCGCAGAAGGCACAGTGAGCTTCTCAGGAGTAAAATGAGCTACTGATGTCCACTTTTCTGACTTATCCTGATGCTGTTATTTTCTTGACAATTGTTAGTTAGTGGATGGTTGTCCATATCTCGAGTCCTTACAAAGCCCGAATAACATGATGTTGTGGAAAGCGGAGAATAGAAACCCTTGAGTCGTGTCCCAAAGGAAGAGGCTCTGAAATGTTCAATTGATATGATTTCCCCCTTGATTGAGCAGGACAAGTGTTCATGTTTGGTGAGTGCCTGTGGCGTGGATCGATGTCCTAAAAATAGAGCCATGTAGTGCCAAGACCCTAATTAAGCTTAAAGTAACTTTCCCACACTTTTCGCATCTGAACCTTAGAAAGCTCGGACACAGTTTGTTTCTATGCAACGCATTCCTACCACTAACGAGCTGTCTCAAGATCCAGCGAAAGGCACAAAAAAAGGAAGGAAAAAAATAAGTTGGCGCTCAAGACCATGGCGCGGAACTTATCTTGATTCCCGAAAAGGTCGCTTTTTCGGGAGAGCACGCTGTATACGTTCCCATTGAACCATGGAATGCCCTCGGGATGGTCAACAAAGCCCTTGAGGAAACGGACTTAACAATGAACTATTTAAATCCAATTCGCTCTGTTGTAGTCTTACATCTCGATGGATGTCAGAGATGGTTGGCGATCATCTCATTGTCTGAATGATGAAGGCCTCACCATGTTTTCCGTCTCTAAATCGCCCTTTTGAGCGCCACTGTCTCATTCAATATCGTCCATGGTTGTTGCCGTTGATGATGATATTCGCATCATTCTACATTATTCTACATCATGGTCCATACTGTTTTCGCCTTACACGTTCCATTCCAATTTGCTATGTTAACCTGGCATGTTCTCCCTCAGGGCTGAGGATTACCTTCATATTACCTTTTTGACATGCCCGGTCGAACACTAGCTTTCTCTCCAATCAAGCACCTTCCCTGTCAAATGGTTTTAGGTGGGACTCGATGATATCTCGAGAACGGTGGTCTGTCAAATGGCTGACTAAAAGCTCTCGGCAATCAGATGCGGTATTCGACGAACGGAATGATAGATATCAATGCTTTTCCTTTTTGTGAGCTGGTGAACGTGGTGACAGGCTCCGCCTCTTATGTCACGAACACCTGGGGGTGGGGGAGGAATGGATGGACTTTTCTAGCCCTGGGGCCTAAATCCTTTGAGTGGAGTGGACATGTGGGCAACAACGATCGATTTCCCCGAGGAGTGCCCGAAAAGTACGTCTGGCAGGAGGATGTTATTTTTGCGCTGATGATAGATGCCTCTACGGAGAATATGGCCGGTTCTCAACTTGATGGTAACTCGAGTAGACTGGCTATTTCAGCTCTCCGACAATGATAACATGCCAGAGACACCCGTAGCCTGCCTTCTATCCCCGAACCAGCCCTGCGCACAGCCGGTAGATCACCATGATATAAGAAAGGCCATTCTTCTACCTTCCAAGTCAATCAAGATTCACGCATCTCCCTTTCTATTTCCATTTTTCTTTCATTTGCCTAGATATTTTCACGCCACCAACTACCAGCCACTAGGAAACAATCGCATCTCTCCCAAAAACCCTGCCTCTAGATCTCTCTAAATGTCCCAAACTTTCCTCAGAGCAGGCCGGTCACCTCCGCCAACTTCTACAATATCGGCACACCAGTCTCGACAGTGACTGGCCACATATGGTCACACAGGATCCGGACCAAGCATTCTTGGATGCATACCACTACCAGCTCGCACCCATTGCCTACACTGCTAGTTTAGCACACTACCATCGTCCTCCCAGTCATGCGCAGTCTCTTCAAACCGTTGATCCGCAACCTGATCCACAAAATGCTGCGCAATGAGGTCTGGAGCCACTAGTGCCTGACATCCCAGGCTGAGCTACATGAGCTGCGCAAACCCTGGGCGGACCCCATAATCACAGGAAATATCATGTACAGTGGTCATCTATTGTTGATGATGATGGGTTTGAGAAGCCTGGGAGTTTAACGTTTAATTGGGATCCGGTGTTTTGGGGATTCGGACCGGAGAAGTTCGAGTATGATAATACGAGTTTGCAGAAAGCTATCTTGAAAGAGATGGAGAGAGGAGGCGGGTTGGGGTCTGCGCTGAGCCTAATCTAGTCTTTGTGGTTTGCAAGCAGTTTCCAGTAGGTACTCTCTCTCTCTTTTCCTATTCCTTTGACGAAAACCTTTCTTTTGTTAAAGGAATTTGAGACCTAATTCCTTGGGTTGCGAACAGCTCATAGCCATGCGCTATAACGACGTCCGCCATGGAACAGATGTCATCGAAGGCGTTCTCGAGAAGTATCGGGAAGCCCTACAAAAAGAAATAATATGATCGGACAAGATGGCCTATTTGTCGACTGGCTTTTTCTCCGTCAGGGCACTACCATTGGAGCACGCGGTCCACGGTTTTCCGCATGGTGAGTTAATATGCTGCTGGTGGGTGGTACTCTCCTCTGCAGTAGTCAAGGAGTCAAAAACTAAAAAAAGAAAGAGAGAAAGAAAAAGGAAGGCTGACGCTGGCGCTGGCGCTGTTACGCTAAGGAACTAGTAGGAGAAGAAAAGAGAGTGGAGTTTGTTGTAAGGAACCTTCCGAAGGTCATTCGGGGAGTGTATGAGAGAGGGTGCCTGGTAGAGCAACGGGAAGTTGGCGATGGCAGGAGTATTGATATTAAAAGCGCCCTTGGCTCAGGTGAGGAAGTGGATATTGTGCTGATGCGAAAGCCGACTGAGAGCATCTAAGGGAGGGAGTTCTTATGAATCATACATGTTCCGCAAATTTATATTGTAAGTCATTTCTCACAAATCAGGGTTTGCTATACAGATAAATAGTAATAATGCCTTCTATATATATCTCTATATTGTAATCTATTTCTATATGAATATGGAACAGGAAACGTCCGTATACGCCTTGAAACCATGCTAGCCGAATAATGAACATCCCGGACGCCAATTGCCCAGGCAATCCAAAACAACAAATAAAAAATAGCCTCGCTATCATGACCAGCACGTGTATGCACGCTTTGAAAAAAGAAAAAGAAAAAAAAGAGTCTAAATAAAATCAAAAACTAAACAATCCACTTCTCCTCTTACCGAATGGGTAAACCACCAGAGCCGCCATGAACAATCCCCCTGAAATCCCGATAGCAACCTCCAACATCCCAGAGCCAATATCAAATACCACATTCCCCCAAAATCTGTTCATCATTAACCTCTCCATCATATTTTTTATCTCTTCTGTACTCGCCGTAGACGAATTTCCCAACAAGTCACTTGCTAGATCGCTCAGCGGCTCCGTCGCTAAATCAGTGGACTTGAGATTGGTTGAAACGATTAGGCTTGATAATAGGCTACCACTGGATGCCAAGCCTGAGGGTAGCTGCAGAAATATAGCAGGTAGTATGGCGGCAGCGGCCAGCCCATGTCCTAGCCGGCTATATAAATTGCCCATGATGCCGATTGCGAAGGCGCCCAGGGCGCTGGAGATCTGGGTCGATACGAATTGGCGTGCGGCGAAGAAGCGGACAATGTAACCGGTAACAGCGATGGTAGCCATGACGGGGAGTTGTTTAAATTTTGCCTGATTGATGAGGGAGGAGCAGATGGCGAAGCCGATCACGAAGGGGAAGCGCTGCAGATACTCGTTTTTGATGGGACTGGCGGGACAAGCAAATGCGGCTGTGGCGTTTTTGTCCAGAGCACCGTAAAGAGCAGTGCCGATGAGCATTCCGAAGCCGAGGAAAAGGGAGTAGATAATGGCGTAGACCATGCGGACAGAGCCGGCGATAATATTGCGCGATTGCAATGCCAGTGCGCCACATAGGACAATGTATCCTGGAAGAATTAGACAGATGGATGACTGAGCCAGCGCTGCGAAGCAAAAAAGGTGTTGCCCCTTTGACGTCGTTATGCTTCCGAATGCTCGAGCAAAGAAGGAGGTGATGACAGCGGCAGAGATTTCGAACACATTGGCATAGTGCGAGGAGCGGGGGGTAAGAACATGCTGCAGGACACCAAGTACACAGCCCAGAAGGAAGCAAATGGGCATGTCGATTGGTCGTGCACCAAAGGCAAAAGGGCCAACCATGGCGCTGGCTAACCCGTACAGGAATATCACCCAGGGGACACTATACTTCGGATTCGCATTCATGATGTCTCGCAGCCGCTGCATAGCCTCTTCCACACCGATGATGTCGTGAACAACTTCCTTGTAAATCATCTGGATGTCACGTAGACGGCCCAAATCAACGCCCTCATGCGACCGGACCATTTTTAAGTCTGTGGTGTCCGTCGTACTGTCCTCAAATGCCATAAGCATGGTTCCAGGAAAATACGTAAAGCTGCCCTCTAATTCGAGGACTCGAGCCGTCATTCTCATGTACTCTTCTAGTCGATGTGATGGTGCCCCGCAATTCATTAGAGCACGACAGAGTTTGTCAAGATATTTCTTCCGTTGGCGAGTTTCTCGAATATGGACCCTGAGCTGGATCTCTTCCTCGAGACGACTTTTACCGCTAAATTTTTGCTTCGCAAGAGTGAAAATCTTCCCACCAGTTGATTGTTTATCTGTAAGTGACGATCGCCGTGATCCTCCTAGCGGGGAGGATGAGTCCAGGAAAGGCACGGATTGATGACCGGGCTTATTATTGTACCATTTCTGCTTTGGCGGTCGTGACGAGCTTCTCCCGGCTATTGCTCGATTTGGAGCTTGGAGTGAAGGCGACCATTCATCATGCGGTTGCGGCTCCTCCTGCACGCTGTTCCCGTACATCCTGAGCAACGCTCCCAAGACTCCGGGTCTATAATGTGATGGTCGGGCAACGTAATCATGAGGATCTCTCTCTTCGAGGGGAGTGACCTGACCAGAAGTGAGGTCCTGACTTCGTGCGCTAACTCTGGTGAGAGGGTAAGAATCTTCCATTGGCATGCTTCGCATCAGCTTATCAGCATGAACCCGAAGATCCGCATTTATATGCGCATCATCAGAACGATCATCTTCGTCGGAATAATATGCTTGCTTCTCCATTATATCCAGATCATCCCACGATGACTGCTTGGGTCGTTCAGGCGGCGGTGCGGCCTTGTTCCTCTGCCGGCGAGAAAATCTATGAAAAAGGCCGCCCTGTTCTTTGGTCTGTGCGGAAGGTCGACGAATGAAGGAAGCCAGTCTCTGTGCTCTTTCGTGGGCGCCATGCAAGGCCCTTCTCTTTTCACCGGCATCTTCCTGTCTCGCGTTCTCATCGTCATGGAGAAGGTTCACCCTGCTTGATATGTGTTCGCTGCTGCCTATGGGCGTTGAGGCCCCTGATGATGCCTGGTGATCGAAATAACCGACCAAATCATCCGATACGTCGCTTTCAGACTCTCTCCGCGGATAGCAGTGGGCTACTGGCGGCGCTCGTGGGAGATTGCCCTCAATACCTAGTGCGTCCCGAGGGCTTTGGCCATTGCCTCGTTGTGACGTTTCTTCATCGCCAATGAATTTCACACGGCCCACTGGATGAGATCGGGAGCCATGAGCTTCTTCTTCGCTGGTTGAGCGAACGTGCGAGGTGCTTTTACGTGCATCAGGACTTTGATCTGGCGAATTTTGAGGGGCTGTCAACGAGATATGAGGCGCTCTGCCCCTTGAGCTTGGAGACCTGGAAATATCTTCTCTCGAAGAATGCATATGGAAAATACTTGGATTTCCTGAGCTTTGGGTTCCTCGATCAAGGTTGCAAATCGTCACCTATATCGAAGTCAGTCCATATATTTTTAACGTCGAAAAATTTCGAGTTGATATGATGTCATCTGCAACCACCCGTCACCCCTTCTTCCCTTCCCACTTCTTGTGACAGACAGAATACTCAGGGCAGCTCTAGAACCCTGCACTTGGGCCACATCCCTGTAGACGGGTGGGTAGGATTAAGCCGTAGAATCTGCGCTTTGTGGCGAAGGCTCGGATGATGGACAGGTTTTGGGGGGGGGGGAGAGATGAAAAAGCTTAAAACGGAACCCATTATCTTGCAACTTACCTCAGAACAATAATAAATCGGGGAGGCTTCTCCCAGTTGATTTCAACACTTGGGAATAGCGAGAATTTGCTGAGGAATTGGCCTGAAGTATATATATAAGGTGATCATCAAAGTCATCACAATGTTCGACAAGCTGCGGGAATCAGAAAGCCTTTCTTCAAAAGGACGGAAAAAAGCCGTTCGCCAGCAAACGAGTGGTTGTATGACGAATCAAGGTAACAAGTATTCTCTAAAAGACTTATGTATGATGATGAAACGAGGGGGGAGATAAAAATGGAGCCGGAAAAAAAGGCTCAAACGGAGGAAGCGACTGGTGGAAGAAATATAGAGAGTAAAAGAAAAAAGAAGAGCGGGCACAAATATTAAAAATAAGAAAGGCAATAAATAAGGATTAAAAGAACTATCACCAGGGAGCTCCTCGCCCCTTGCTGTGTTAATAAACATGAGCAAATCATCAAGAAGAACATGATTTCAAATTAGCTAAGAGCCGACGTAATACTTAGACACTGTTTAACTACCCCTAAGCCTAGAACCCGCTCCTCGACAGCTTTCGAACACGTTCTTTGCAAGAGATATTCTTAGATTAAAATAGAAGGAGGAGCACAAGGTCGTCGAAGGTCTCACTCAAGTTTACCTAGGTATAATCCACATGGGTCCCCCGAAAGCCCGGCCTAAGACCGTGACTTGAGCTAGAACAAGGGAGGCGGATCCACCAGTTGAGGCAAAAGGAATGGGAGGGGCAAAGGCTAGAAAGCATCTGATTGATTCAAGTGGAATCAAAGGGCCCAGACAACAGGTACTGAAAAAGAAGAGGGGCAGTAGGCATTCAGCGATGTCCATGAATAGACAACCTCATCGATAGAATTGTCCAGTTTTAGGGGGAGTTTGTTTGGTTCTTCTTCAAAGTTAGAAGAAAAAAATAGTTAGAGTTCAACCTATAACGTCACAAGCTGCCCGGGGGGGGTTTAAGGGGAAGCTGTCACTTTCCTGGCTTTTCGGTAAAATTGTCCCGCGCCAGCCAGCCCGCCAGCCAACTTACATGTAATCACACCTTTATCCATGGTAAAGTTGTACGCACGGACTGAGATCCACAGGTCCCACCCGCCACCCGTCACGCCATTATTCGAGCTTCTGGAACTGTAGAAGAAGGTTATATAGTGGGGACTGACTGATAAGCGACCGAGCAGACGGATCGGATGCACATCGCCCGAGCCAGGAACATTATTGTTGGCAGGGAGCTTTAGCTCTATTTTGATTTTCTCTCGGTCAGTTGTTCATATTAACTAACCTGTCTATGATCACTTTCCCTGGTGCGTTGTATGTAGGTATGCCATGTTGAAACTGAGAAAGACACATCAGACGATGGACTTTGGGAACCTTGGAAGGTTTGAAGCGGCGTTGTCAGCCCTAAATAAACTCTAATTGTTACGTCAATCTCAACCTAACCTTATTTTCCAACGACTAAGCCCGAAGAAGCAAGCTTGAGCTTGGCATTGGCATCAAAAAGGGGACGGGTTGTAGTTTTCTCCTTCTATTCCCATTTAATATTGGTCTGGTCAATGGTTCAACACAACAAATGAATAGGCAACCAATCGCAGAACAGGAAATAATACCAAACGACCCAGGATGAAAACGGAGGAACGGCCACATCCACTCCTCTAATTTTTTCTCAATAGACAAACGAGATCAAACAGTCCACGGTTCCCATGGCTATCAATGTATCTATGGTTAGTATTCCCCCACGACAAGCTCTAAAGCCCGGAACAATAACCAAACAAGGGCCCCATTGCTATTATACTGAGTAAACAAACATGTTTGGGACGATGCATAGGTCAGCCATATACCCTAGTTAGCTGTGATTGATCAAAGATATCGGAAAAGATGGAGACAAACAAGTAGGCTACAAACATTAACCGACCATCAGTTGGTTCGGATTGCACAGTGGGATGGATCACCGGAGAAAAGCCAGTGGGTAAATACAAACTACGGAGTACGGAGTATCAGAGATGTTTTTTAACGATCGCATCCGCTCCACTCGCTCCGCCACCAATGCAGGAGCAAAAATAAGTAGGGAGAAAAAGTCCTCGTATCACAAGAGTTGAAGAAGAAATATATATGGGGATTAAAAGACGAATTAACGAAAGAAAACAGAAAAAAAAGGCCCGGGGAGGAGGGGATCAGTAGGTCACAAGCAACAACCAGTGATAGATCTGTCTGGCTGCACAATTATATATACATATATATATGGATGCAGAACACTCGGACAAATGAGCTCAGTCACCACTAGTCTTTCCTGGTACTGAAGAAGCTGAACCATCCCATATATGTATGTCAGCAATATATGTATATATATATACTATATTATATATTCATATTTATAGATACATCACATAACTCATTTCATAAAACACATTTTCCTTTTCGTTCCTAGGTTTGAAGTAAACGTAAATTTCTTTTAAGGCCCATCCGTTCATCCGCCCATATCAGGGATTGAAATCGCAGAAGCAAATTGCAGTAAATGGATGAAAGGGGGAAAAAAAAAATAAATAAAAAAAATAAGAGAGAGGAAGTAAGAACAGAAAACAGAAAAAAGGGGAGATAGGGAAGAGAAAAATACGGAGAGGGAGAGGAGAGGAGGGGGTTGGGGAGCTGGGGGTTAGAAAGCTGGGGAAAAAAGTGTAAGGTAGAAGAGGCCCTGTAGAAGAAAGCATATTAACAAAGAATAAAGAAGATATAAGAGAATAAAGAAATAATACGGAAAATAAGAAAGAAATCAAACAATCATCGCTCCTCAACGACACCCATCATAACCACTCACCCCTCCACCCCATCACGATCCATATACTCAAACCCACCCAACCCCTCCATCCCGGGCACCTTCTCCGCCCCAGCCTCCACTAGCCTCTTCACCACCGCCCCCTTAAGCACCCAAAACCCTTCCAGATCACCCAGGGGAGTCCGGCCCTTGGAATCCTTACAGTTCGGCTCCGCACCCGCCGCCAGCAGCGCCGTGACGATGCGCTCCTGGTAGCGCGACTCGACGTTGCGTGCGGCGTAATGTAGCGGTGTGGCGCCGGTGAGGTCGTGGGCGTTGATGTCGGCGCCGTAGGTGGTTAGGAGGTGGATGTTTTGGGTTATGTGGTCGGTTTGGTGGGGCCGGGTGGTGGTAGTAATGACGGTCTTGGTTGGTGGGGTTGGAGGGGTGTTGAAGGACGGGGAGGGGGAGGTGGGCCTGTCTGCCGTGATCGGTTTTGAGGAAGCGAGGAGGTGGAGCGGGGTGGCGCCGGTGGCATAGGTGGGTGTGCTTGGGTTTGCGCCATGGGACAGGAGGAAGAGCAGACGGTCTGGTCCGCTGTGTTGGGCGGCGTAGTGGAGCGGGGTGGAGAGGACGGTTGGTTTATTGAAGAGGGCTGCAGTTGCCGGGTCTGGTTGGTTATCGTCATATGTATCATTATCGTCGTTAGCATTATCGTGATCGTCATTACGTTTGTCGTTGGCAGTGATATTGATATTGATAACACGCGCCGCGATCTGTTTCAGCAGCTCCGTATCCCGCTGGAAACAGACGGTGTCCAGCGCCGTGTCACCGTGGTTATTGGGCGCGTTTACATCCGCGCCCCTGTCAAGCAGGAGGGCAATCACATCGCGATCGGGCGTTTGCATCGTGCAGCAGCGCAGCAGCGGGGTGGACCCCCATTTGTCGCGCGTGTCCATGGGTATGCCCAGGTCGAGGAGTGTCTTAGCCAGCACGAGGCGCCGGGAGGTGATTGCTGGCGGGGGCGCACTGGAACCGGGCATGTATCTCAGGGGCATTCCGTCGCCGTAGATGCATGCTTCATGCAATACCGTGTTTCCATACCGGTTATGAGCTTCCAGGTCAGCGGCACCTTTCTCCACCAGAAGCTTGAAGATAGAGAAATCCTCGCTCTCATCCGTCTTCAACCAGTGGTTCAGCGCGCAGTGTAGAGGAGTATTCCCCTCGTTGTCTATGGCATTGACATCCGCCTTGTGCTTCAGGAGCGTGACAACCAGCTTCTCATTCCCCTCCGACACGGCGCGGTGTAGCTCAGTACATGTGTTGGAGATGCCCAGGTTGACATTCGCACCCCGGTCGATGAAGCGACGGATAGCTCCAGAGTGATTCTGAAGCACTGCCCAGGTGGCAGCCGATCGTTTCCTCGAGTCTTTGATCTCAATTCCATAGCCCAACGCGAGCCATTGGTCGAGTGCCTGGTCACTCGTCTGTGCAGCTGCCAGCGTCGCCTGGACAAAATCGTCGTTGGTGTTCAGAGTTACTTCCCGGCCATTGGGCATCAGGAAGGTGTTGTCGGAGACGCTCTGCGCCGCACCCTGCCGCAGACGAGATACATCTTGGTCCCTTTTATGTTCCTGAGCGTCGCGATCGCTGTCGTCGCGTAATAGCCTTCCCTTGCCCTTGGTGTCGACAGGTTCCGCCTTCTCGACCACCCCGTCGCCATCACGATCATTCGCCAGCCCACTCGACGGCGAAATGTAAAAGGCTATTTTCCTGGGCTGCAGATTGGGGAGGGACTGTGTCGCAGCTGGATTTCCCTCGATGCTACGGTATGCTGGGGGAGGAGAGGCGTCCTTCTGGCCATCGTCGTCGGGTCCACCGCAGCACAGCAGCTGGGAGAATCGCATCACCACGCCAACTAGTTGGAATTCACGATAAATCTGCCCCGTGAACGCTAGAAAGGGGTATCCGAATCTGAATTGCGGATAACAAAAGCTCTAAAGTGAATTTAAAATAAAAAGAAATAAAACAAAATAAGGACGATGGGAAAAGAGAGGTGTTGTGAAGACAAGACAAGACACGAACAAGAAAAAATATCAAGGCCAGCCAGTGATAATAATCCGGAGGAACACAACGTGAGGCTAACTGCAGATTAAATAACTAATTAGTTCGCTCGATCTTCTCCTCCAGAGTCCAGACGTCCCGTCCGCCAACCCGTTAAACTACCTCAACGCCTCGCTGTGCACAAGCCTTCGACTCCCACCAGCCACAGGTATTAATTACACGAAAACGGAAAAACACTCATCGTCGTCATCTGGTTGGTCTACGCAGAGTAGAGCTTCCCACCCCACCCACTCTGCGGGTAGCCAGCCGTGCGTTGTCAGTCGGGCCTTGGACTGGCGGTAATGGATATAAGATGATGCGTAGTGTTAGCGTGGCTGGACTTTACTTTTACCCTTTGCCCGTCTTGAGATGGGGTGGTAATGGTTATGACAGCTAGGCCTCAGGGGTGGGTAAAAAGAAGGCTTGTGGCAGGTTAAAAATAACAACTCAGCACAGGAACAGTAAGTAGGTAGCTAAAGTAGTTTGTTATACATTTATTATTTATTTCTTCTAGTCAAAAAGAGGAGTAAGAGAAGAGAACATGCTATGAACCCATTGCAAAAGGAATGGATAAACAGGTTTCCAGAACTTGCTTGAAAATAATAACGATAATAAAATAAATAAGAGAAGAGGGGAAAAACGAACGGGAGCGCCTTGTCTGATACAAGAGCCAATTAATAGAACTGAACTGACAAAGCATATATTTATTCTCCATGCATTCTCGTTCTTCATTTTTATTCAAAGGTATCATCTTTCTTTCTGCTCCACACCTCATCTTTCTCCTTGCGAAAAAACACACCAACACCAGCTTCATATATGTGATAATAACAGAGAGAAAAAAAAAATAGAACGGTGAACAGAGCCGATTCAAACCATCCCAAAAAACACACCAAGTATCAAATTCAAGGCCGCAGGATTCAATCAATTCAAGTCAAGTCAATCAATTCATGGTTCGTTAACAATTTCGACGACAGGCACCTTGGGGTAAACCTGTAAGGACTGCGGGGCTGCTACTAAGTAGGCACACGCGAGAATATGAAAAATACCGTATAAACAGCACGAGGACAAACGACAATAGGAGGAGGGAAAAAAGTAATAAAATAGAACAGAAAATGGGAGGGTAAAAAAACAAAAGTCGTTAAGACAAGAAAACAGGGTGTCAGTAATTCAGTAAGAACAACATAGGTAGTAGAAATAAGGAAGAGAAACGCTGCCCGGAACATAGAAATTTAGAGAACAGAGAAGTGAAGAGAAGGATGAAAAGAGGAAGGGGTGAAAGCTAGTTATTGGGCTAAGTTCAATGAATGCGTTCCAATTCCCTCCCCTCGCATCTCACAAATTGACAGAATCGGGCAGAAAGAAAAAAGGATAAAGAAGAGTAAAGAAAAAGGAAGAAAAAGGAAGAAAAAGGGACCAAACTATGATAATAATTCCAGTGATAATGCCATCCCTCCCCAAACTGAATGAAAAAAGCTAGAAAAAAAATATAACAGAAAAATAGAGAAGAGAACGAAAGGAGCGACGGCAAAGATATCCCCCTATCATCTCTTTCAATTAATAGGACTTTTCCTCTTCTCAGCACTCGACAGAACAAACATCGGCATCTTCCGTCGTCCATTACCGCCTTGCCCCATATTCGGCGCCGAAGCATGGCCAGCCAATACAGCAGCCGTACTTGGTGTTGTTGACGACGGTGACAATGTGTAGGCCGGGATTCTACCACCGAAAGCGCCTCCAACAGCAGTCGTATCATCAGCGCGAATCTCCATCAGCTTCCCACCTACAAGCCCGCCATCGTCGCTACTAACAGTCGCAGCAGTGTACAGACTATCTGTCGACGTGCCACGCTTAGGGCCATTAGAAGTTCCAGATCCAGAGCCAGAACCACGATAACTCCACTCCTTCTCCTTCCTTTCCGATCCAATAGCCCCATTCGCAGCTGCACGGATGCTCCCTAAGCTGGGCTTGCTCGACAAAGTGCCACCACTTCGATTCCCACCAGTAGAGTCATCACCGTCGGAACCTGAAAAGTTAAACTCTACATCGCTGGACGGTGTAACGCTTCCGCCGCTGTTGCTACCAGTACGGCGAGAACTGCGGGACTCACCACGCCTCTCTAAGCCAGCCCGCACGAGATTGTGAACAGCACGTCGACGCTGGCGGGTAACGAAGTTCTTGCTCCCTTCATGTTTGGAGGTTGGCTTTTCGATGAGTTCTTCGAGCGAAGGGGGCCCGCGGGGTTGACGGATGGGATGTTCGCCAGCACGTGCTTGGCCGGGGCCAAAAGTGCCTGTGAGTGGAGTGGGCAGTGGAGCGGTTTTGGGGGCAGTTTTGTTTGTATCGCTATTGATTTTTAGAGAGGTAACCAAGGAGGGAGTCTTCTTATGATTACGACGGAAGGCGTTGGCAGATGGTGGGGGGAGAGGAGTGACTTCCTGCGGAGGGGATGGATCAGTCCTTGGAGGCGAGGGAGAAGGCTTGAAATGAGGAGGTGATTGCCTTGATTCCGGAGGAGGGGAGACTTCAGCACGGAAAGTTGGAGTTTCCGCCATGGGAGATTGGAACTGCTCCTGGTAGATCGATGAAGGCTCTTCGTACTGTTGTTGCTGCGACTGCACGGTGTTGTCCATGACAAAGTTTTGTTGCCCAGTCATGGGATTATAGACCGAGAACAAACCAGGATGGCCAGGCACCTGCTGCACAACTGGTTGCATGCCTTGTTGTGCTTGTTGCTGATAATAGCCCATTCCCGGGGTTGTTGCTGACATGATCTGCTGTTGAGCGCCCATGGAAAAACCAAGACTCAACCCTTGGAACTGCTGAGCAGCAGCTGTGACGGAGGCAAGTTGTTCTTGTAGACGTTGTTGTTGCGCAGCAAGGAAAAGATTTGTCGAGACCAGTTCTGCATATAGCTTTTCGTCAATCGGTTCTCCATTCTCGTCAATTGGGAGATCAATGGTGGGAGGAGGAAGCACGTGCTCTGGCAAGGAGTACATTTGATGCCTGCCATTTGGCTGAGACCCATAAGAATTGAGGTGGTTGGGGAACGATGCTCCTGTGGAGGTCAAAGGTGCCCGTTGGGCATAGGAATTTTGCTGCGAACCGTATCTGGCGTGATCCAAGGAAAAATGGGGCTGCTGATGAGACATGGGAGCAGTGGCCGGTGCCGGAGAGTGCTTTGGAGCAGTCCTCAGCCCAGCCAGGAGATGGGAGCGACTCGTGCGTGGTGTGGAAACAGAGGGAGACGACGTAGACTCGTTAATCGATCCGATGTTTGACGGGTGAGGAACACTGAGACGTTTGATATGAGAACCCTTCCCGCGAGATGCGAAACCAGAACCCGGAACGCCAAGGGAACCACCGTTGAAAGCCATGTTGTTGTTGTAAGTCATCTGAGCTAGAACGCCAGCGTCCATACTCAAGGTCGTGGAAGTAAAGGGAATTTTTTTTTTTTTTTTTTTTTTTTTTTTTTTTTTGGAAATTGATATTTGCAAGGGGCGTTTATTCGTAGAGAGGCAGGAAAGGGGTAATTGTATCTAGCAGAAAACAATTCCGAGATAAGAACGAAGTGTTGTACCCGGGCCCGTCTATACGAGGGAGTCTAGCTAGCTTGCGAGCCAACAAGATGTTGCAAAACTGGTCGGCTGGTAGTATGAAAGAAAACCAGTTTGAGAGTGGATTAATTCCACACAAACAAAAGTCGTCCTTTAGGACAAGCTGGCAGCTTATGTAGGGATGGGCTGGGTCCGAAAATCGGATATATTAAGAAATTAAAAAAAAGTATTCGTTTAGGAACACTGCTGGAAAGGCGAGTGACGGGAGATCGAGTTGTCTGACAGAAATAGTCGACGGTCGAGTTTAAACAGGCGTAGATAAATCAAAAATACGCTTCTAAGAGAGTAGGCTAGAGTTAGCAGACTGGAAGAGTGGGAATAGGAGATGGATATTTGGATAATATACCAGAAAAAGCCAAAGTTGAGACCCAGAAGCGAACCCACAGGTGATTAAAATAGATATACAGGTGAATATAGTTTCGTCGGTTAGGCGAGCAGGCCGGCCGAAGGAGTAAGTGAATGCGAAGCTAAAAGCCTGGCGAATGAATAGGATAATAGCAATAAGAGTAGTAGTAATAATAATAAGTATGGTGCAAGCGCAGTGGGAACTAATGAGAATAATAAGATGTCCAAGTGGAAATTGTACTTGGATGCTGTTTTGTGCGTGGGTGTTGGTTGATGTCTGTGTATTATATGTGCGTGTGTGCTGGTGTGAAAAAAGGTTTCCGACGATGGAGAGATTTGCACTGCAATCTCAGCGAGGAGCGACCAGAGAGCAAACTGAACGCGAGTAGCTTTTTTTTTTTTCTTTTTTTTTTCTTTTTTCTCTTTTTTCCCTAGGATGAACGAAAAACGGCGACCAAAAGACCAAGGGAAAGCTGATCTTCTTTAGCTGTTTTTTGTCCTTTTTTCTTTTTTTGAAGAAACAACGGCGAAGCAAATTTGCAGAATTAAAAGATCAATGAGAGAGGAACGAGGCAAGGATTAGGTCCCAGATAGCGAGAGACAATAAGACGACGATAACGACGAAAGGCAATAGAATAAGCGGATCGAAAACGCGGCGGATATTCAATGAGTATTATAGGCGGGGTTCAACCGGCAGAGCGACGCGATCTAATGGAATCGACGGTAAAGAAAAAAAGTAACGGCGAGAGGGGAATAAAGCGAGATATATTAAGTCGAGAGAAACAACAAGACCCAAGTCTTCATCCACTGGGATCAAAAACAGCAGTTTATTTAATCCGATGGATCTTTTTCTTTATCTTTTTCAAGGAGTCTTTTTGGGTTTATTGAAGTAGGATGCTGATGCTGATGTTGGAGTTGCTGGATTTCGACGGTTTATGATTTCGGGAATAAGAGCAATAAAAGGAGGCCCAAAGAGGCAACAGAGAAGGGAGGAAGAAGTTTTTTCTTTCGGTTGCAGACTAGACGGCGAGCCGAGATCGAAGAGAGACGGACGCAGCAGCAGGATTTGATAGAAAGAAGGTGAGCAAAAGCTGGATAGAGACAAGGAAGAAGAGAGAGGGCGACAGTAGGAAAGACGCGCGAAGAATACTAAGTGACACGACAGGGCGAGGGAGGGAGAGGGAGAGCGCGGAAAAGAAGAAGAAGAAGAAAGAAGAAGAAAGAAGAAGAAGAAGAAGAAGAGGAAGAAGAGGAAGAAGAGATGAAGATAGAGAGGAAGACGAGTAGAGGACCAAAAGAGGGGCGGAGAGAAGAGACACAAGAAGAACAAGAAGGAGAGGATGTTGGAGGAGGAGAAGACGAGGAACGACGAGGAGGAGGAAGGAGGAGACAAGACGAGACGAGACGAGACGAGGAAGAAGGAAGAGAGAAGAGGAGAGAGCAACCCAATACAACAATACACAATACAGCTCGGATACAGCTAGTATCCCGCCGCTTTGGGCCTAGTGAGGCTTGTTCTACTCAGGGTCCAGACCTCGGGCCAGGCGCCCATTGCGTCCGCTGATTGGCTGCCCATCGCTCCTTTGGGCCTAGCGTGGCAAATCAAGTCTCGCTGAAACACCGCTAGCGTCGTATTGTATTTCTGTACCTGTATTGGCCTTGTGCGGGCTGACTGACTCAGCACGTCTCGGCACAATCTCTGCTTCTCACCTGACCTTGTTACCATAACAAAGCATAACGGTACGGCAACAGAGTATAGATAGTTACGCCAGAAAAACTAACAAACACAGCTCATACCATACATACTGTGTACGCAGTATATCCCAAAAACCTCCCTGCACTCTGCAAAATGAAAGAAACAAAGCAAGCTAAAGAGAAAACCAAAAGAGAAAAGAAAGAAAAAAAGCAAATCTACCAATCCTGCATGTTCGGCGCTTCGAGTATTCCTCTTCTCCGCCAATCACCACATCGTCCACAACACCCCCCCCCTCAAAGGTCCCTCCATTCCCTGCTGGCATCCTCGACAAACCTCTGCTCCCGTCACTCACAAACAGTCTAGCACACACACGCCCATTTCAACCTCTCTCTCCCAAGCTCAAGGCGTGCAGGTTAGGTTACTCCCTAGCCGCATGCACATCACACCTGGGGCGGCCAGCCGGCGGCCATCGCACCCGAACAATCTAACATATGATTTGCAGGAGCTATCTTCCTCACTCCCTTTCTCCTCCTCAAGTTCTATCTAATAATAATAATAATAATACCCTCTTCAGGGAGGGAGGAGGAGTAAATTCCAGGCTAGACACCTGGCACCAATTATTAATAACGACCGGGGGGGGCGTTCTGCTTGACAAAAAGGACGCTTATTTTTAGACCAGGCTGTCCTGCCTGTCAATGCTGTCATTCCTCCGCTCCAAACAAACCAACCCCATCTCTCTCTCTCTCTTCTTCCTTTCAAAAAAATCATTGGTCCCAGCCCCCAGGCTGCGGGGATGTGTTTCGAGTCTTTTTTTTTTTTTTTCAAAATTCCCGAGTTTCTATTTTGGTCTCTATTAGAACATTCCCCCCCCCCCCCCCAAGAGGCAAAAATGGATGATGATTTCATTTTCACGCAGTTTTGTTTTTATTCTATTTATTTTTTTAGGAATTTGGTTTCAGAGATTTGAAACATGGCAAGCAAGCAGCTTTGCCTCTGCTCATCCAGCCAACCTTCTTCTCTATCAAGATTGTTCTCTCCAAGAATACTCACTTGTTTGTGCTATTGCTTTTTCTATCTTTCTATCTTGAGTGTGTTCCCTGTTCTCTATCACATCTCTCAATAGAGGAATAGAGCAAAGCAAGCCAATTCATTGAATGTGCACACATAATGCATTTTCTCTCCTTATTCAAATAAAAATCTCAACATTGTATTTCTTGGTTAGTAGATGTACCAGATGAGATGTCAGATCTAATAATCACTGTTAGAAAATTCAGTAAATGAAATGATTGCAAGAATTATTCTGAAACACTGATGAATACTACTATACTAAGCTGTAGAAAGATTCTATGCATGCTCAGCTCAACCTGCACACATTCATTTCCTCTGTACTTCTGACCACTAGATAAATCTTCAAATATATATATATATATATGTATCATCTCAAAAATAAAAAGAATATCTTCTCCCCTCTCTAGCTGGCCCCCCTCACCCGCGAAAAGAACCATACTCGAAAGGTTCCTGCTAACATCTCTACATCGCTCTCCCAGCCAGCATCTCCCATCCACACTCAACTTAACACAACACTCTCCAAACTCACTCAAATCCGTCGCCTCGCACCTCACCACTCACTAACTCACTCATTAAATAATCTATCACAAAATCTGACCTGGTGACCTGGTGCTATTCCGCCCTCCCCTCCTCCCACAAGGCCAGGTTACGTATTTATTTATAATGGTGATGTGGGTGGGTGGTTTCATCATGGAAGTTGTGTTGTCTGGGTTTCTCCCTCTCTCCCTTTTTTTTTTTTTTTTTTTTTTTCTTAATTTGCTGGTTCATGGGGGATTAAGAAGAAAACAGAAATGGAACACGGGTTCCAAGGATTCCCGCCCCGTTTGATATCAGGTGAATCTGTGATTGTGGGTTTTTGAAGGAGCCAAACCTCCTTGTTTGCCCATACTTGGCGACTGATCGAGGGAAAAGCTTGACGGCATTATGTGGGTTTGGAGTTGAGAAGAGGATGGAAGAGGGGGGGAGTATGTAATGTACCAACCTGGGAATAGAATAACTAGAGGTTATATGAACGGGGGGGTCCTGGTACTGAGATCCAGTGGAAGCGGCCCCCTGTTTTTTCCCCCGTGTTGACCAAGTGAGTCATTTACATCATTTATATTTCCTTTACAAAATATATAAATAGATAAATAAATAAATAAAATGATATGATCAAGATATAACTCCCGAGAGATAGTGATATCACGTTTCATCCGCTACGCGCGCGGGGAAACGCTCCTCCGTCACAAAACGTAAACGAAATTATGTATGTAATCAGACGAGGAGATGAAAATCGGGGACGATGGAGCCCAAAAAGGACCGTCAATGGATGAAGGTCAGGAATCACCCCGCCCACACATTGTACATAACAACGGCCTGGAGAGTGTTGATTCAAAAGGCTTGGAGGGTGGGAAGAGGGCTAGGAAAGTAGAACAAGGAAAGGAATCGCGAAATTGAAAACACCTCGGGGAAGTTAGAGGACCAAACAAAGCCCTTCTTAAGAAAAACATAAAGGCGAAGAAAGGAGGAGGAGAATAGGAGAGAAAAAAGAAAGGATAAAGAGAGGGTTGGATTATATTTAGAGAGCTTTTCTCAGACCCATACACACACCCCCCTAAATATTATAGTTGTAATGTACTGTACAGAGAAAAAGAAAATTAAAAAAGAGAAGGAAAAAGAAAACCCATACTATAGACACCCATACACGCATGTTCACATGTACATTACAAAGCATACCCAGTAGCGAACTGGCTGCTGTAAGAGAAAAAATCGTAAACACCGATAGGGGTGAAGAGAGTAAAAAGAAAAAAGGGAAAAAGGGAAAGGGAACAGGTAGATAGGCATAGACATAGACATAATAACAAGAAACACCCTCATTTTGCGGTCCAGGGAGGGAGGGCGTAGATGAAAACGAACCCGATGGATACACATAGCCGATGTTCGTTCAAGTGAAGGTGGTGCTGACCATGCAAACGTAGGTAAAGATGGCGGACAAGATCACCTAGATAGACAGAAAGGTAGGTAGGTTACAAGACATGCCTGATATTACCAATGTCAAGAAATACAATGGGAGATTCGGGAGATATGCTGGCAGGCTTCTGGAGAAGGTAGGTAGGTTCCCACGTTACAGTTTTCATGAACGTGCTATGCGAATCCAGGAGATCGGGCTTTTTCGAAAGAGAAGTCGATGTTGAAGTAGATACAACACGTCCGTTGAAAACGAGGTGGCATGTCTAAAGCCAACCGGAAAAAAGAAAAAAAAAAAAAAAAAAAAAAAAAAAAAAAAAAAAAAAAAAAAAAAAATTCTCCCCCCTCCCCGAGGTCAAACAGATAAGAAACGGGCCGGAAAAGCCACCCGCCCCATTAGCCGGGAACAGCCCGTTCAGACATGGACATGGACAACTGCATTCCCATAGAGTCACGCCGGGTTACTAGCGCCTGCTGCTGTTGCTTTTTCTCCTGCTGATACTCGAAGTGCTGGTGCTCGTCCCGATCCAAAGCACCGTCCAGGCCAAGATCGCGATCATCCGGCCTCTTCTCATTTGCACGGTCAAATTCGAGCGCATTGGCTAACTCGCTAGACATCGGGTCCAGCTCTTCTTCTGGTAGACCGGTTGCAAGAGAGACGAGCTTGCGGTGAACGTCGAGTTTGGTGCTCACGCCGGCATCTGCTTTTTGCTGGATGAGTTCTCTGATGGCTTTTTGGCGGGCTTTTTGGGCCTCGAAGAGCTGGCTGGTAACCTGGTATAAGAGGTTGAGGTCCTCGGGAGTCTTATTGTTGCTGTTGCTGGTGGTGTTGTTATTGGAACTCGAGCCCGAGCCCTCTCCGCCTCCGCTAGAGTTTATCTGAGCAGCCCGGGACTCCGGATCGACCCTAGCGTTCTGGAGACGTTTGAGGAGATGGAGTCGTTGAACCTGCTCTAGGAGAGATTCGTAGTCTCGCTTTACCTTGTTGAAACGTTCTAGTTTGCCTTCTAGGTCATCGGTTTCGTTCTCCTTTGCGGTTAGAGATGCTGCTTGCTTCCGAATATTTTCCCGATCCGATTCCACGTGTTCATACAGCCCTTGTGGGTTTCCAAAGTCTTCCTCGCCCTGGGGTGGCCACTTTATATCGCCATAAGCTAAGGCTAGCTTTCTGCTGGCCTCATCCACGATGGATCCTATTTTTGATAAAAGTGATGCGGTGACTTCGGAGCTGGTTGAAGGTCGGTAGACAGCTGTATTATCTGAGGTATTATTCAACTCAGCGTGATCCGTGTCTGTAACACTGTGGTGGGTCACTGATGACGGCGCTGGTGGATTGTCTTTATGGGGACGGGAAATTGTTTGAAGGATTGCGTTGGCACTTTCTCCCGCTTTATTGAGAATATCACCAGCTTCGGGACACTGTGATAAAAGCATGGTAGCTAGCCGGTAGCAGCCATTTTTGGCCGCTGCTAGAGCAGCTGTGTCGCCATTCGAATCTTGAGAAGATAGAAGCAAGGAGATCTGATGAGGAGGTAGAATATCATTTAGTTTATCCATCAATACTTGACAATAATATCGCGAACTCTTCCACTTGCCCTTACTCCTTGTCGTTGCGGCCAGGTGGTTGAAGACAGTTGCCCCAAACCAGTCTCTAAACGTGATCGTTTCTTGGAGGAGGTCCGCCAAATCCTGCATGGTCCCCTTTTCATAGTTGTTGGTGAATAAAACCGCGCGAACTAGTGGAGTCTCGTCATGATTTGACAACGCTTTTACATTCGCGCCTCGATTTATTAGGTCTCGAACGATATCGATGTCGCCCATAGAACACGCCCAGTGAAGAGCGGTATTTCCAT